TACTATTCAGTAATTGCTGGTGTCTAATCGTTAGTCATTATCTTGCAAACACGCCCTTATGGCTGCTCCTGAAAATTACGCAGCCCTACTTTATAAAATATTCAAACTGGTAAAAGTGTAAATTACTAAACTATAATCAATGAAAAGGGTAATAGAAAAGTTATGTTTTGAAGTRATATAAGTATGACTACCAACTAAAAGTTATACAAAGTTAAATATGTAAAAAAAGTGTTAGAGCTAAACCCGAATCTTCTGAAGCAATTCTGCAGCATCATCGCGATCCATCGAAACGAAGATTTCAATCAGCTTTTCAATGGGYACCTTGTCTGCCTTTGAGTGTTCCCACCATTCAATAATCTCGTTAGTTGGYTATTTACAGCGTTGTAGCCACTTAATGTAGCTTTGTGTTTGACCGAGTTTTTCAGCAAACTGTCTGTAATCTCTGTAATCATGTCTTTCAACATCAAGACAGTAGCAAAGTTCTCGGCGGACGTCTGAAGGMATTATCATTACGATATCAGTTTGACCGCCATTTTCAAGTGATGAAGAGTAGCCAGATGACAAAGATTGTGATCGCTGAAAAAAAATGAAATTACAAAACATTTTATTCTCTTTCCAGACGATTTTTTAAACTTTGTAGATTTAGAATCCGTTAAATATTTAAAAAGAACTGCTTATGCCGTTTTGCACGATTATTTAAGAAATAAACAACACATTTTCGTGTGTTCCTGGTGAAATAAAGCACGCGGGATGTCGGGAGAACTAACACGAAAAAGACGTAAAAAATCTCGAGCCAGAGACGAGAGATTTTCAGCCTTTTGAGTGTATTCCCAATATCCCAAGTGGTTTATTTCACCAGGAACGCACGAATATATGTTGTTTATTGCTTTTATATTATAGCATTTTCGCATCCGTCGTGAAATAAACAATAACATTTGATCAATSAGAGAGCGCGTACTATGAMAGCTATAATATAAATCCGAGTGTAGAAATCAATCATTAAAACATTATAGATATATGTTGCTAAATCCATCAATCCAATCCGCTGACCATGCGTCTCAGTTCGTGATGAGTGTTCATTAGTCAATAAATGCAACACATCGCAGAAAGCGTTTGTAATCATCCTTATATGGTATTATAGTCAAAACATTACCCACCAATCACTGACAATWGACGAGCCAACATTGTAAGTTATTATCGTGTCCAGGACGTAATCCTGCGACACATTCTTCATTTAATTATGCAGCGCCTTTTTTTGTTATTTTTTCTATTATAGTTTTGCGATCTCAGGATCGCAAAGTTCGATCCTCGACTTTTTTTCAATTCACGCACCTTAATTGCACTAGCTACTTTGACTTTAACAGCATCTGCATTCTCCATGTCTTGATTGATTMTGAAGCTTGATGAAAACGAGAACTGGTTCGATGAAACTCGCTCAAATATGAAGGTAACATTGGGAAAGCAATTCTGAGAATTTTGAGTTTGCCACAGGTCTCGAAACGGGATATTCTATAACAGAAGSCAAGACATATTGATGCACTTCAAATTTAAAGATTTGATTTGAATATTATTATTAGAATTACAATTGTACGGCTATTTCTATCGCAGTATTATAAGGTCACGTTTCTCAATCGGCGAATATATTCTTTCAATTACCTGCTCGTTTTCATCGACTTCCCAMCCTMCCTTSACTTTCACGATTGTCGCAACAACGTCTTTGTTATTATTATGGACGTTAAGCTGCTTACGCGCATCTGCTACAGTGCCACTGAGCTTCTTTTCTTCGTCAAAGAGTTCCTAGAAATAATTATATCATTGATGCGTGTAGGTTATTTCACGCCATACCATTATACCTGGCGCTGCATATTTACGATTAATTTATCGCATTCCTTTTTTCTTTGTGTGTGTAAGAGGACTAAAATAATAGAAATACGAAACAACGATGAACGATGATGTATCTAAGGTTTAAGTTCTATCTATTATCATTTAACAACTTTCCCAGTTATGCCTTTTGCACCAGATACTACGCAAGGATGGATTGATTCACCGAGGAGGGACTAGATATATGCAACGATCGAAAAGAATGTGTAGGCACCAAAAACAAGTTTATTGGTGTAAATTTAAGGTTCAGAAATTGTACTGCAATTTTATGTTTGTAAGCAAAAAAAATATATAAATACTTTCTGTTTTCTCTCTAAATCGGCTTAAAATAAAGAATTTCATCTTGGTTTTGAGATTGAGTTAGATGAAGTCGTGTTGGTTGAAGTGCCGTTTAAAAATGTTCAGTGTGTGAGTGTGGTGCAGAAATGATCGTTACCTCTAGTGCTGCTTTTGTAGCAGGAATGCAATAAATCCTTACGCGACAGTCCAAGTCTACCTTGGGCTCTGTACAAAATGATACAATCCATTTGGTCATCTGRTGTGGCTGACCTATTACACAATACCCAGTGAAATGTTCAATCATGATTTGTAACGAGTCGTGATCAATATGACTCAAAGGTGGTTCAAGGTCGTTAGGGTCTTCCATTATCTTCCACTTTGTAATTTCGCTCTCATCTTCAGGAACCTGTGAYCAGCTTTGGACTGAAAAGTAAAAGTATAACTTACATACCTTAATGTATTTGCACACGCCGATTATCTATCAGTCTGACTTGCACGTTAAAGTAAGCAATACTTCAAACTTTTCACTGTTTAAATTGTTTGAAAATCGAGTGAAACACAAACAAGGCAGGGAAAGACGTGTATGGTCTAGGGTGCTASCATAGTGTGAGAGCGTTATTAAAGCTTTTGGCATGTAGTTTCGTCAAACATTTAAGATGCTGTTACACACTGAATTTTTCTAAACAACTTTTTTGCCTGTACAACAATTACAACTGCTTTTGTAGCCCCTTCCTTTGGGTATAAAAGGGTAACTGTTTTCTTTTTTTTTCAATGTTTGTTTATAACAAATAAAGCCCGTTTATCCCCTCTTAAGACCGTATAGTCCCCCTCCCCCCTTAAACTTTCAGCTGGATCCGCCCTTCCTCTTACAATATTATTTTTTTTCGCAGCTTGTAAAAAGTTTTGACCGAGGTATGCTGGGAGCCAGAATCAAATTAAGGACCTTCGAAATGAAAAACGRTGCTAGAYGGGTGATARACTYTGCAATGGCGTTGCAAGTTGTTGAAATGCGTTACAAAAATCAGACCTGAGTTCTAKTACGTGCAACGCTACGATGATTACTCCTGCTACTCTGAGCAATTCTTCAGCAGCATATGTCGCAACGACGTGAGTTGTAAGACAAATTGCTTAGAACTTTTTGCAAGAGCACTTTTACGTCTTCAGTGTTTATTATTTGAAGGAATCAATTTATGGAAATCTCAATATACTGTAAATGTACCCAACAGTACTGAATGTGCATGTCTTTGTCAGGTGATTATCAAGTTTATCTATATAAGCAGAATAGTCGACTTGTGATTTTTTGTTGATTATCCACATAAAATATATATTTTTTAAATTCTTACCTTTTGGCTTCCAAGAATTTTCATCGTCACTAACAGCGTTGTGAGGGACAGTAAGATAAAGAGGTTTATTGAACTGTAATCCATCTGGGCCACAAATGACGGCGGGGCTCAAAACAGCTTGTCCATTTTCCAGCTTGGGATAAAGACCCTTGCGGCTCATCAATCCAATATAAATAACCTGAGAAGACCCTTCAGGTAGGGCCATTTTGGGGATGTATAGACTTACACCCGTGTCCTTGATTTTTAAAATCCCACCCTTTTCTGTAAAAAGACCCCAAGCGCATAGGTTAGGGTTCACGGTATCTGGTAGRACTGGCTTTGGACAGTAAGCCCCAGAAACACTTGAAAAGTTGGAAAAGTTAGAAATCTTGCTTTTTGAAGAACCTTTTCTATTGATTTTATTTGATTCATCAAAAKCAARATCGAAGTGATCTTCCTCTAATTTGGTGTCTTCGATGAAATGAGTATCGAACTGGGTGCCGTCAGAGCTATAGAATTTCAAAATTGAGTCCAAAATGTCGTCACGTTCCAAAACTTTCAGRATTTCCATAAGCTGTTGCATCATGGCCGATGGATTACGTGTTATCCACCAATCAAATACATCTTTTGCCGGCAATTCAAGATTTTGTTCTATTATATGAATATATGACGTCGGCATGCCAATCCTTGTCGCAAGGCATTTCCAATTAGCACGTGGACCTATAGTGCTCAGAAGGATCTCGATGAGATGACGAAGCTGAAATGGTATATCACGCACTTTGATAGCAGCTACCTTTACTACAACATCGTCGCCAAAGGATATCAAATCACTCTCCAATGTTGATCCTGATTCTCTAGAATAATTATCATTGTTGGTATCTGTATGCAACAATGTTGACACTTTAGGTCGATCTTCGATTTCACAGCAAGGTCTTCTTCTAGTTTTATACTTGTACCTCACGTACGCTGAGAAAACCAAAATAATTCCCATAGAAACAATGACAATCGTTACTGCAAGAAAAAGAAAGAATAAGGTCAGTCAGTATCAATGGCATCGTGTAAAAAGTACAAGCTTCAAAACAACTACAAAATGATAATACAAATCAAGAAAAACAAACAAACAAAAATATCATATCACATGCATAAACCAAATTGTTAAAAACACATTCAAAACCACGAACAAATAAAACATTGAATCAAGGCTTCAAGTAACACTGAAGAACCGTTTACACTTGCGGTTTTTTCAAAGCGATTGTCGTGCGACCATCGCCTGATTTTCGAACACGATTGAAAATTTGCTGCAACTTCGCGGCGATTTCCATCAACAATCGCAGGGCTGTTTTAGTTTCGCGATAGCAAAGTGACAAAAATCGCGCTGCAAAAATCGCAAGTGTAAACGGGCCTTGAGAACCGGTCTTTTGCTGCATGCTTACTGTACGCCTCGGAGCATGCATATTGTTCGTGGTCACTGAATACCGTGAATTACCATAAGTGGGTTGACAAAAAAAGACCGATCTAGAATACAACATATCATATGATGCATATGGAGAATATAAARTGAGTGTCATCATGAGCAACTAAAAAACAAAACAAAAGTTCACTCAAATWCATTATCTATTCTACAATGCACCATGCCGACATACAGGCCGAAACAGCTGCTCACGGATTCTTTTTGAACTGGTTCATTCTGTGATGCGCGCGGAAGTGGCCATGGAAGTTAAACGACACTTAAAGCTCAAATGATGGAACAAAGCAAAAGGAGAAAGGGATCTTTGCTTATGTTATCAGTACATTAAATATTTACCAATTAGAAAAACAGTTGATTGACGTGACTTGTTTCTTGCATGAGCGTCCGTAGCAGGATTGTACTGTGACGCTGGAGTATATAAAGAAAAGAGAAAATTATGGCAAATTGGAGACTAAATATCACTATAGTATTCTCCCTTATTGTGTTCAGATTATTAAAGTATCTTCAAACTAGTTCAAGTCACAGGAATTGGTGCCTAAAATGTTTAATTGAAACCTAAATAGAGCCGAGTTCTGTGTTGATGGGCGTGTCACTAGGTTCAGTTGCAATTCTTGCATTCACTATATTACCTTTAACAGTGAACCGCGTTGTGATCGTAAATGCAGTAGTCTGCGTCGTAGATGAAAACTTGGAGTAAAWTTGTCGTGAAGTACATTGTACAAAGCAAGGCATAGTTCTGACACTTGGGCCATCACATCTTTGTCTTTTGTCGAGACACTTTCTCGCCTGTACTACCCTACCCCTTCCACARGTTGCATCACATTTGATCCAAGTGAACCAATTTGACCATCTTCTCTCTGAGAACATATAAATGTYACAAAATWAATATTGAATTGGGATAAAATAAASACTCTGTCTCTCTAAGTAATGTTTCATCACAGAAAATAGGCATTAATATATAGAGTGGGTTAGAACTGGAATCAGAAAGATAAATTATGTATTATTTTATCCTCTTAATGAATAATAACACCACCGGCCATATTGAAACAACCAAACTTTTACTCTATAGGTTCTATGATTTTGAAGCAGACAATGTTTCAATTGATGTAGATATTACCTGTAGCAACACGTAGCWCCGTCAAACTGCTGTAAGACGTCCTATTGCCAGTCACTTCACACCAGTAATATCCAGTCTGATGTACGGATACTCTTTTATATTGGACAATTATTCGTGATCTTGRGATGAGGAWATYGGGTTTWSCAAGTGATATTCCATCATGATAACAGCGTGGCCATGACGTTACATTGTTACTATGGTACCGCCAGACAAATCTAACCGGACGATTAGAAAAAACTTTTCGTTTTCTTTTCCTCTTTGGCAGAAATTGCTGGTTGTCTAAAAATAAACAGCAATGGTTTTAAAAGTACTTAATAATCTCTAGCTCATTCTTAGCTCATTCTTAGCTCATTCTTTTATTGGGGCAAAATGCAGACGTTTTTTTGACGATCACAACTGACACATTTGCAAGAGACTATCAGCAATAAACAGTAATACTGTTTATAGTCTTCTGATATTTTTTAAGATTTATTATCGTTTTAAAACTGATGAGGTCTTGTACGAACCAATATACTCTCTATACCTACATATGTCGTGGACCGAGCAGGTCGTGAAAAAACTGATCGCGCGCAAGCCAATCAAAATTGGCAATTCCCGTCCCAGTTCCTGGAAATCCGAAAGAATTAAGAGATGAAGGCATTGTGAATTCCTGCAGAAGCATTTACTATTGATATCACAGCCTTATTATAACACGATAAAACATCTTTCTCATGTCGCGTTCTTTACTGAGGTAGTGAACTTTCTCATTACCATGTTTAAAATCATTTTAAAATTAATGATGAAATTCTTCTTTCATTGCTGCGACCGAATCGAGTAGCCTTATACTCGGAATAAAGTGTAATTTTCGGATGTCATTGGCTAAGGACATGATGCATAAAAAAATCATGCAGCAGGGTTCCAATTCCATTCCAATTCAATCTTCCATTTTTATATATGAAAAAGTTATTTACCGAAATGTCCCGGTTGTACGCGCGCGTCAAGTAAAAACAACTTCCCTGCTCATTTTTGCTTGTCGCTTGTTCACTGAGTTAAACATGGCGAAAAAGTTGGGAAAAGAAGAAGATTTAGAGAAAGCCAAAGTCAGTAAGCTTAAATTAAAAACTATTTTTTATTTATTTTAATACCAATATTTGCTGAATTTTATTCAGTTGAATTTTATTCTTTGCATTAAATTAATATTCAACATTTATTCTTAATTTTGTTTGCTTTAATTTGTCCATAAAATAAAAAGAACATCATACCTTGGCTTGAAGATATGAATTTTATTTTCTCGTGTTAATACGAAAACTATTTTGACTCGTTTCGCAGCGCTAACTCATAAAATATTGTTTTCACCACTCGAAAATAAATTTCACATCTTCGCTCCACCGTGTAATACACTCTGTATATAGTCAATTGACAAAAGGTTGTCGTCGACCGGACTTCGTAGCACGCGACCAACCCCAACAGGTTTCTGGGTAAAAAATCAATGAACTGGCAAATTAGACATAACAAAACCTTCTAGTATAGTATCAATTTGTTTCGGCTTTTCTCTCTTTTTTAAGAACTCGAAGACAAACATTGAACATGGTATTCCCCGCCATAGGCGTTCAAATCTCTAATTTGCCAGTTCATTTTTGTTTTTTAGTTCATTGATTTTTTACCCAGAAACCAGTTCAGGCTAGTCGCGTTTCGTGAAACCCGGCCGACGACAACCAAGTCGATAAGCCCTGGCCTAGCACGTGAACACGCTGGAAACTTTTAAGTTTTTCTACATATGCAGAAATGGTTTACAAAGCAATTAAGGTTGGCGAGAAGTTATCCAAGAAATAAAAAGTGCATTTCCATATTGCAAGCTATATATAAATATTTTTGCAMCAAAAAAAGTCTGAGAATTGTCTCTCAGCTGAAAATGTCCGAGTGAAGCTAAAGTGTACTTACGTTCAAAGTTTTGATCTCCGCGTCCTGGCTTCAACTTCAAATTTGTTATTTTGCTCACTTTTCCGGTGTAAACAGCATTACAAAAGCATGATATGACGAGTTCCCMGTCACTATCTCTTGCACTGATAAGAAGCCTCGTCGTTACCAAGGGCGTGTCTTCATCAAAGCTGGTTAAAGTCCCTTTGTATCTGTTATTAACCATACAAACTTTGATAAGGTGTTTTGTCAAGATTACTCCCTTTGTATGCTTTGTTAAAAATGTTAAATGATTTGGGTAATAATCAGTTGACAACGATGAAACAATTTATTACCAAAAAATCCATAAAACTTTTGTCTACTTTTTAAAAGTATTCCATAACCCAAATAACAYGAGCATTCCCATTGCCGACGCTTTTGTAAGCGAACAGATGTAYTTACTTACAGCTTTCCAAAACCCGTTCTAACCCATCTTGGTGCACACTCTCTTTTCTAGACAACAATAAAACGCCCCAATTGTCAGTTTTTTTGTTTGTTGTTGTCGTTTTTAATTGTTTTCAAGTTCCTTTATGATGCTAGCACTAGTATCCTTCAGCTCAGAGTTCTCCACATGTAAAAAAATGTCATCATTTTCGTTTACGATCTTTTACTATGACAAGAAGCGTGTTAGCAAAAAGCGGACATTACTTACACGATCTTTTTACTGTGTTTACATCTCACTTGTAAAGAGTCTCTTGGTCCTGTAGCATTGGCCTGGCAGACCACAAGGACTGTGTTGATACCTATGGGGAATACTTTTGGACTCGGCAGAGAACCTAGACAAATGACAAATCCCATGAATACATGTCAACACACCGTAAAACACTGGAAAAAATTGCGCGCCATAAAGGTTGTAAATTTGATGGAAATAAGATGTAAGTGTCCAAAATGATGTAAATTTGATGMAAATGATTTKSATCAAATTTACATCATTTTGGACACTTACATCATATATACATCAAATTTACAACCTTTTAAGCGTGCAATTTTTTCCAGTGAAAGAGGAATAAGCAAGTATTAAGAGCCACTTCGCGCAAAAATCAGACATATCTTAATWGGCAAGACTCGAAAAATCAAATCTATTCATATTTTGTARATAGATAAGATATGATTAGGCAACAATCGCTGTGTAATTCGCTTTTGAAAATATTTCGTTTTTCGCAAGAAAATCGCTGAACAATACTAGAGCCTTTGCGCGAGAGATGTTTGATGGCTAAAAATAGCACGCAAAATCTTGTACAATTCTGAGAGTGATTTGCCCAGACTAATTTTTATGTATTTGAAAAGCTCATCTCTTGCTTAGAAATCACTCCGAATTTTATTTTAAACAAAAAACTTGCACATTACAATGTGATAAAAAAATGATCGTTTTGTAAAGTTACCAATTTACATATAAAATTACATATGCAAATGCTTCGAGTTCCAGACTATTTGCTTTTTGTGGTTACTCCGTCTATAAGACGGGTAACCACTTTGTTATCGGTTTGTAAGTCCGTAAGTAACACTATCACGTGATTTTAAGGTCTAAATACAACCCAAACAACTGCACCCCCTGCAATTGCAAACTGTCCCCCCCTGTAATTCACCATTCCTGCCCTATTAAAATTTTAGTAGCAACAAAGACAGCACATCAAATATCAATTGTCATGAAAAACCACAGTATATATACAAGGATTCTTGAACTTGTTCTTTGATGTGGGTTTTCGAATCTGAACAGTATCCAATCGTATGATCTCGTGTGAATGAATATGCGCAGTTAGCATCGTTATCACACATGTCTCCACCATGACGTAGCATTGGCATGGCAACTAGCCAACGACGCTGACAAAGAAAAACGCTGGCTCAGGAGACAAGATTTTCCACGTGCTCAACTTCGTCGCTGGTAAGT